GTCTCAGACTCAAACATATACTTCATTTAGAACATACTCTATATTTTACTTAAAAGTTTTGTTTGTATATATTATTTACATTATATATTGATTTCAATATAGAGTATATTCTAAATGAAGTATATGTTTGTCATTTCCGTTATTTGTAAGACTCTGAGATCATAAAATAGAAAGAAATTTAACGTTTTTAATTTTTCAATTACTTTTTTTTATCAACTTAACTTTTAATTCAATTAATTTCATTATACATTAACTTGTATCTTAACTAAGTTAAATTTTCAAGGTTGTTAACTTCAACTTAACTTAGTTAAAAGAAAAAATTAACTTACTCAACCCTGATTTTTGGAATATCAAAATTATGATTAAGCATTTTAGAAATATTAAAGATTTAAAAATAAAAAAAAAGAGATCCAAAGAGAGAAGCATGGCCCCCTTCGTGGATCCGCCAGTGTCTATATATATATATATATATGTATACATTGGTAGAAATGGATATCAGCTGGAGCAGCGGCGCTTGACGTTTGCCGTTCGCGCCACAGACCGCGAGATGCTGCCATCTGACGATCGGTCGGTAAGTCGCGTTTCCGTCACTAGTGTCACTACGTGAGAGCGGATTTTGAGTGGGAGAAGTGGGGGAGCGGCGCGAGGAAGAAAATGGCCGACGAGGCTACGGTAAAAGGGCAGGGACGTCGTGCGAGGTGCGCGCTGCGCGACGCGAGATCGTCAGTTTCGCGATAGACCGCGCGAAAAAGGGCCGTGATACCACCGCCGGGGAAGGCCTACCGCCATTGTTCGCGGTCGCGCGTCCCGTCGAGAAATCTCGCGATCGTATATACCAGGATTCGCGGTGCCCGTTCCTCGCTGGTGCTGTCGTCGCTCAGCGCGCCCACCAATCGCTCTCGGCGCCCCGATTCGCCGTTTAAAAAAAAAGCGTTCGCGGGCCGAGTTTAGCCGACGGAAGGGCTCGCCAGAGAGGTAAACACGACACCCCCGTTTGCACTGGCGCCTCCGCCTGGTCTCCGCCGTTCTTCCCGTCCCGTCCCGTTTTCAGTTCTCCCGCGTTCTCTCCTCGTTGCTAAAGCGTGTGCGTGTGTTGTTCGCGATCGCGTCGCCGCGCCGACCGCGCGCGATCGCCGTCTGTGAAGATTCTCTCTCTCCGCGTGCGACGATTGAGATCGATCAGCAGGTTGGTGAGTTCCTTCTTTCTCCTTCTCTCTATCTGTCTCTGTCTCTCTCGCACACTTGTCAGGGCCACTTGTGGCCGTGTCCGTCCACGGGCGCTTTTTAAAGGGCGTGCTAGCCGTCGCCGTGTAGCCGCCGTCCGCGTTTCCT